GATCCTCCCCACTAAGACACCTGCTAGGCCCCACCATATGTAGAGACTTTATATACCTTTATACTCTTAATAAACTTTTATTCATAGGTAGAAATGTGGCTAGATCTGTATTTACATTATTCTCACTGTTAATGCTATTCATTGCTGAGCCATGGGATACACTATGATAAACTTGTCTTTCTTGCATAACTTTTAATCTTCCAAGTAGATGATCATTGTCTTGCTTATTCTTGGCTTTTTTGCCCAATGTGCTTATTACAATTAAATCCAAGTTGTGCAATCTCTCTATAAGTTCACACTCATAAGACAATCTATTAATTTCATTTGCTTAAAGTTTCTCCTGCATTGAACTATACTGGTTGGTCTGTAGGATTCTGCAGGCTGCCATCTTGAGCTCTTCATTCTCTTCTTGCATGTTTCCTTCATCTCACCAGTGAGCTGGACTCCTATTTCCTGGATCCTACATCACTTGCTTTCCCTGTTTACTCCCTTACTTTGGTTGAACTCACCTGCTTATAAACTCAGCAAGGAAACATGCATACAAGGGAAATATGTTGTATTTCTTTCTCTATTGTCTCTAATGTTCAATATGACTGTTAAGAAGTCCAATACCTTTCTGTTTTGTTTTGTTTTGTTTTGGCAGTGCTGGGGACTGAATCCAGGGCTTTGTTTAGGCTAGACAAGCACTCTACCACTGAGCTATGTCCCCAGCTCACCATTCTTGTTCTTAATTCTTTGAAAAAACTATTTTACTTTTCTCTTTCTGGAATTTTAGAGACTTTTCTCTTTGTTCCCAGTGTTGTGAAATTTCATTTTATGTGCCTTGGTGTGGGTTTTCCCCATCCATTGTGCCAGCACTTGTTGTAAAGATTTTGGTTATGCAGATTTATTCCAATATTTTCCTCTAAGGATTTTTAGTTTTAGGTCTTTGACCCATTTTGAGCTTTTTTTTTTTTTTTTTTTAACATGACATACAGTTGGGATCCGACTTCATTTTTTTTTTAACATGTGGATATACAGTTGTCCCAGCACCATTTACTGAAAATATTATTCCTTACCCTTATTGAAATTTTTGATGCTTATATACAAAAAGGTTTATTTGTAGATTCTCAATTCTATTCCACTAATGTATATGTCTATTCTTATGCCAACACCCACAGTCTTAATTACTTACTATAGTTTTGTAGTAGTTTTGAAATTTGAAAGTGTCTTTCAACGTTGTTCTTCATTTCAAGATTATTTTTGGCTATTCTGAGTTCCTTGAATTTCCATATGAATTTTAGAATAGGTTTGTTGATTTGTATAAAGATGCCATCTGGAATTCTGATGGGATTTCACAAAATCTATAGGTAAATTTGGGGATTGTTTTCATCTTTATAACAGTAAGTCTTCTGATCCTTTGAAGTTAGGATGTCTTTTCATTTACTTAAGTCTTCTTTAATATTTTCCAGGAATGTTGTTTAGTGTTCAGAATAAAAATTTTGCACTTCTCTGGTAAAGCCATATCTAATTATTTTATTCTTATGGATGCTATTCCAATAAATCACATCAGTTTTTAAACTTACGTTGACTTCTCTGAAACCTACAGTGTTTTAGTATTATAGTTTAGTTTTTTAATTTTAATGGACATACATGTGACTTACAATCAACATCTTCTTAGATTCAATACAATGTGGTATTAGATGTGAAATGTCTATAAAACATCAAAGTGGAGATGAGCACTAGGCACTTAGATATATCAATAGGGAACCCAGAAGAACTATAGGCAAAAATGTTGGGGGTCATCTTAAGCCACAACAACTAAGATTCTTTGAGGGAAAAGAGCACAGAGAAGACAAGAGGACCCAGCCCCAAGATTGCAGCCCAAGAAATTTATCTCAGCAAACAGAAGCTTAGTAGAAGAGAAGTAACTAACAAAGGAAATGTTTTTGAGCTTACTGTACTTATTGACAGAAGGCTCTACAGGGACAGGACCTTGTCCCTTTTGCTCTCTAATAAACCCTCAAGTTGAATAGCTCACTACATTTAGATATTAACCTACATGCCAAAGATAAATTAGAAAAAGTCATTCAGAATATGTTTACTTGGAAAATGATATATTGATTCCTCACCAGCTCTTTTACCTCAGAAAATTCTACATGAATACAAATAAATAAAGCAATCTTTCAGGTCTTAGAGAAGCATTTTAATCTGATTTTGATTATGGACAGAAACTAAGCAAGTGCTTATTGCTCAATAACTTAGAGTAATTATATAAAGGCAGAAGAGAAAAACCAGTTAGAAGTACTGTGGCACTCACAATTAAAACCAGAAACATGTACAAAAATCTCCTAAGGCATTCATATTCCATTTGCTATCACATTTCTATAACATAAGCAGGAAACATAAGCAGGAAGGACATAAAACTTGTAGTCATGCTAATTCATCTGCCTTTCATTTACCATTTATCACTTCACAGATGTCAAATCTTACCCATTTCTATCCATCATATAAAGTACCATATCCTCTAGGCAGTGGTTCTCAACCAGGGGAAATTCTAACCCTAGAGAACATTTGAAAACACCTAAAGATATATTTTTAGTCACAACTGAAGATGGGATGATACCAGCATCCAGTGGGTAGAAAGTAGGGATGTTGCTAAACATGCAACCATACCCAGAACAGACTCCCAAAACAAAGCATCATCCAACCCAAGTATCAGTGGTATAGAGACTGTGAAACCCCACCTATAGGGGTAAGTTTTAATGTATATTTACATGTACATGAACTTTCTGGAGGCAAAGTCTAAAACTTGTACTAAGTTCTCAAAGGAGATATAACTTAAACACTGACTTTTCTGACTACTTCATCTTGGCCATGGTTTTTAAAAAAATGACATATTAATCCCACTTTAAAAACAGAAGTCATCTAATTAACAGAATTGTCCCTTTTGCTCTCTAATAAACCCTCAAGTTGAATAGTTCATACATTTAGATATTAACCTACATGCCAGAGATAAATTAGAAATTAAGGCATATATGCCAGCCAGATTTCACTGTCCCTTTCCACTGTCCACTGTTATTCATGATTTCCTATCTCTAGGTCCTCCAAGTAACCCATCCCTCAATTAGTAGGACCAAAACAACGATTGTGATTATGGTGACTAATGACTAAGATATAGCTTCATTATATGACATAATTCATTCAATTAAAATCCATTTATTCAATGCCTACATGTTTAACCACACTGCTAGTCACTGGGCATATGGTGATGAAAATGGATTTACAACTTAGAACCAGAAAGATATTAACAAAACTAAAACGAATAATTTACAGCCAATAAGAAAGGGAGAGTGTGAAAAGTGAGGGAGAGAGGCTGAAAGGATGAGCAGAGAGGACTGCACATTCAAGATCACTGCGTACCTTATTTCATTCAGTATTTTATCCACTTAAAATTCAATAGGCAACTAATTCCTTCCTGGCTAGTTTAAACAAGTCTGTGGCATCTATATCCCACTCCAGGTAATTTATAATATATTGTTATTCAACATTTCCTAGTCACTGACATATTTGGGAGACTCAAGACTAGGGACCAAGTGAGAACATCAAAAGCAAAAGCTTCCTTTGGGGGGAGGCTTATTAATGAATCTAATTAGAAACCAAAATGGTAAAGGGTTAAGACTAACGCACATTTCAAAAATGCCGTTTCTGATCATCAGCAGATGTAAATAATTACAATTGCTACTAATAAGATATTCAAAATGTACTGTCATTGCTTGTAAATCAGGGCGGGGGCGGGTGAACTTTCCTCTCTACTCTTCCCCCCACTTCAAATTAGCTACTCAGTAAATTTTAGGAATCAGTCTAAATCGGCCAAGGAGGCCTGGCTAGCAATTTTTAACGCGGCTGTCAGTCTTAAATCTAGAACTCACTAAAAGCCCCAGGTTGGTAAAAATACTGGGGGTTTCCGTGGGAATGAGGTAAAAGGCGACTGGTGAGAGAACAAAGGCGGCGCGTCCCCGTAAAAGGCCGTCCGGCCCCGGCCTTACGAAAGACGGGGGCCGCGGGTGGAGGGTGTCCGGGTGGGTGCCCTATGCCGCGCGGCCCCAGCGCTCTTCTGCTGGGCCCGCCCCGGGCAGGCACCTCAGCTGGTGCACGGGAGGGTGCAACCGAGTCGGGCACGCCAAACAGGAAGGCGCGTGAGAAGGGACGCGGGGGCCGAGGCCGGGCTGCTGGCCGAGTGAGTGAGCGTGTGGGAGACTTGCGAAACACGCCGCGGCCCCGTCCTCAGACAGGACCCAAATCACGTGGCTGCCAGGGCCAGGAGTAGAAGCCGCCCAGAAAGAGCACGCGGGAAGGGAGGAGCGCCTGGGGACAGCGGGCGACAACCCCTGCAGTTCCCTTCCGCGAGGCCCCGCCCCTCGCGCTTATGTAATAGGGGCGCGCTGCCATTGG